GACCAGAACATAAGTCCTACTATCCTTCCGACAAAAGGAAGCGAGCAACAATAAACCAGAGGTTGTTTTTCGACTGCGGCGTTTTGTTTCCCCGACTAAGATCTATAATGGTAAGTTACAAACTAAAACGTACATATACTTGTTTCAACAACTGACACAAAAAATGGACAGATCGATTATCAATATCGATTATCCTAACGTGTAAACTCTTTACTACTCCAAAAAGAGTAATGCCGGGTTTATATTTGTCGGACGTGTTGTGTCGTGACGGGCTCTGACGTGATGTCTAGCTTTCACATATTATGTCTGTCGTGTTCTGTTGCCCTCGACGATATTTTTAAACAATATAGTCGTAGCTCTAGTGGAGTTCATACGTTCCCCATGTTTTTCCATGAATTGTACGACTGATTCAGATAATGAACAAAAAAAAATTAAAATTTTTGGTGCTGGTAACTCTACTGAAAAAGAAAGAAAAATAACGTTTATCATTATTCAATAAAGTACTTATATTTTGTATCGGGACAAAAACACATGCGATTCTGACGCGTCACAACACAACACTGGCGCGCGCACACTTGTCTGATGTGTTGTCAGGCGGCCGCTCTCCCACCTTCAACGCTCTGATGCGATCGGAATCTCTTCTGATGCGTCCACAGAAATATAATAAGACAATAGAAATGAATTAACGCTCAATTACTTCCAAAACCGATGTCGCCACATCTTACCGTATTATAAACATACGCAATGCACAATGATATCTAATGTTTCATATTGCATTGCTTGGCGAGTTTGTCAACGTCGCGTGCGTCGCGTATTGCGGTAGAACAAAAGCAGCAATGGTAATTGTACAATACGAAAAGTAATAGATGAAAGTTTACAAAGGTAAATGTCATAGTAAAGTATTCATCTAGATGTAGATTAGTTAAAACAATGATAATTAGTAAATAATCAACTTACCGATGAAATGTTATGCCTTTATTAGTTGGATTACACGTCCTTGATGAGTTTTTACAACTGATTATGCTGCAGTTCACCATTATAAATTTATAATAACATAAATTCACGTACGACGTTCCCCGCACAACTAAATCACAAAATGATGAATGATGTTCATCAACACATCATAGCGGCCACATGGTCACGTGTCTATGCGCAAATATAAATCTCACCATACTAAATATAATGAAACCGATACCGTTCTGATGCGTCACAACACAAATACAAATGTAAATCCGGCTTAAAGCCTGTTAATTTCCTTTCATATTATGCCAAAATACAATGAAAACGCGACCCGTCATTATTTTTCAAACCGAGAACGTCCAAAGTCGCAGACGCGTAAAAAGACCTAAGTTTACAAAACGGGAAGAAACAACTCCATGGGGACTGCAATACCATCAGATAGACTAAAAGTTTATATTTACTAGAGTCGGAAGATGTGTTATAAGCATTGTATTTTCACCTCTCAGCAGCTTCATCTCAGCCTGATCGAACTTTAGTGGGAAGAACTCGATATAAAATAAACACAATTGGTACCTCAATGTATAAAAATTTTCATGTGACCTCTCCACATGAAAATTTTTATACAGGACTGGATCAACCTGAAGAAAATTATTTTTATTATATGTTTAATATTTCGTTTAAGAACTGTAAATAATTTATCCCAAATTACATAAAGCTTGTAAGGTAAACAATGCAATCCTATAAACCATGGAGTTTCACAAAAGGACAACCCAAATGTAAACTAAAAATAAACTATTTAACACGACTTCCAGGCACCAACTTATGGCGGTAAACTAACAGAAATATCCAAGTCTATGATAAGGAATGTTGAAGACGCGTACAGAATACTCGAAACTTATCTCTCGGACACTTTATACTTAGCGGATGACGTCATAACCCTGGCGGACATTAGTGTTATGACTACAATGTCTTCATTGAACGGATTACATCCTATAGACGATAAACGGTAAGTCCGTTCTTTATACAATTTAGTCTGTGGTCATTACTTTTAAAAAGTCGAGTGAATCTGAAAATCAGATTTCGCAAACCCTTTTTGTATGAAATTAATTCTCGAATTTTACATTTTTGGCCTTTTCGTCGGTACTTTTTAAAGATTTTAAAAATTAACTAGATAAGATCCTTGCAAAAATAAAATGGATGCGTTACGTGCCCTGTTTATCAAAATTTACAAGCCTTCTATTACAAGCAATTTTCCTGTAAAAAATTAATTATTACAAATATGTGTTTATCAAAACTGCACGTGTAAATTACATTATTTATTTCACATGTATATTTTTACACTTGTATTCGTGATTTTGTTTATCAAAAATCCCTTGTAAGTTACAATTTGTAGAAAATCTTAGCAAATCCAAAGAGTGTCCAGCGACTCTCCATTCCGTCTTACAAGTGTTTTAAGTAGTACTGTAATATTTTTTTAATTTGATTGTCCTTTTTAAAATGTAGTCAAGTGACTCAAGCGATGATGAAATTATTAGAATAATGGAACCAAGAACATATAGAACAAGAATTGATTACGGTCATATGGAGACACCCTATGAATTTAATGGAAGGTTTCGACTTAAAGAACTTTTTGTCGCGAATCCGTTGTAAAATCGTTATTTTATTATCATTTCTAGGCGTTTTACAAGAAATCGCAAAATATCGCCGCGAATACACTTCAAATTATATATAAAAGGCGGAAATACTTCGTCGCTACTACCTGTGCTACTACTTTTTTTAATGTCCCATCAAAATTAGGCACAGACGATATACCATACAGCCATGCGTTTAAATAAGGATATTCAATAAAAAGCAAAAACATAATGGCGGGAAAATGCGGCACCATTTTTGATTTTAGAACTTACAAGTAGAACCTACAAGTGTAAAATTTTACAAGCCCTGTAGATTTTTTTGATAAACGTAATTTACTCGAACATGTAAAAACTTTCTTGTAAAGTGTAACTTGTGAACAAGTAGACTTGTGAGTTTTGATAAACAGGGCACAGGTCTGAAGAACACGTACCAATCTCCCTCGATTGCGTGCATTATCACCGTCACCACTGACCCCAATACCACTACACTAGGGAAAACACCAAGATAATAGTGACTTTACGTGTTGTGCTTCTGCATGGCTGAGCGCTAATTCAACCATCAGCTGATTTATTTTTATATATCAAGTGTGAAGCTGTTCATAATATTCAGAAATATAACTACATTGTTCTGCAAAATACCGTTCGGAAATCAAGATGCTCTTATACATTGTTGGCCTCAAAACAAATAGCCCAAAAATCACTTTCTGTGTTCTAAATGATTACCAAAGTACTTTTAATTGAAATTAAAGAGTGATGGACACTCCTGAGAATTGTTTAATATCCAAATTCACTTGTAATAATAAATTTAGAAAATAAGGTTTAAACAGTCCTTAGTTTCGTTTGTTTTTTTTTTTTCGGCTTCGTGCTGATTTCATAAATGTGCAGTATCAGAAAATTGACTAGAAGTGTAAGTTTTAAGAAATATATATATATATATATACATTTTGTCTTAAAAATATCAAGTAATATTTAGTTTCGGATTGGTGTATATGCAAAAAACTGTAATGTATAGCACTTTTTTATTTCAGGTATCCCAAATTGAAACATTGGTTTATAAACATGTCCCAGGAGGATTATTGCAGAAGAATAAATGAACCAGGAAGCAAACAACATGTCAAGGGTCTCAAAATGCTAATGGAACATAACAAAGTTAATCAAAAATCTAAACTTTGAGCTCCTGTATCTCACAACAATGAATTCTTGCCTATATGGAAATTGGAAGTTATATTTAACATTAAATGTGTGTTCTACAAATATTTTAATATAACTTAATCAGGTAATATATATACTATATATATTTTATATATATATATATATATATATATATATATATATATATTAATGCCCAAAGAATTACTAAAAACTAGGTTTACCTGGGTTTTTGGGTAGTCTGAATAATGTTTAAATTGACTATGACGTTTATTAAATATTTCAAAAAATAAGTTAAAAGCTACATTAATGTCCATAGCAGAAACAGAAACATTTTTTATTCAATATAGATTATAAATAATATTTATTGAAAGTAACTTGTTTTAATTTACCACATAAATTAATGGTGAACCAATTAATTATATACTTTATAAATTACAAGCGATGCGCCCTGGGGATTTCTGGAGCTCGACAACAGCGCCTACTACTGGGTCCAAATGTAAATATAAACCATCCAGACACCCAATCAAACACAAATAAAAAAACTGCATCCGATTTTTATACGTACGTTATTTGGACTTTTCCCAAAAAGCCGGGTAAAAGTAGGTGTTTACTAATTTTTTGGGACATTACCGGTAACTTAATATATTCTAATAACATAACAGCTACTGAACCGATCATTAATGTTACTTTAAAGGGGTATCATCATGATTTGATAGGCTAAACTTAGCCTTTACTTTATACATTATTTATTATTATTACTTTGTAAAATAGACGATCATTTTCACGAATGATCTGAAGAGCAAAAAAACGCCAAATAAGAATCACAGTTTTTTTTATTTAATAACTAAAAAGAAATGCAAAGAATTTTTCAACTTTACACTCCAGTACGTCTAGGGCTACCATATTGATAACGTTTATTGAGAAAATAATGATTACAAAAAACGTTACACATTAAACATTTCCTATAAGTCTTATAAAGTCTCTCATGAACGCCCGTTGCACTCAGAGCCAGAACATTACAGCACTTAACATTAAAATTGAAGTACACATACATACAGCATTCTCGTTATTATAACCAACCACATAATGTCTGTTCAGTATTCCTCGTCGCCTTTAGCGGAAACAAGTATTGGAATTATATAAGGACTATCACGCAAGCTCGTCGAGTCACTTGTCGAATTTAGATAGAATGTCTGTCACATGGGCGTTGATGTCGCACGTTTAAACTTAATTGTACAGAAGCGGTGAATTCTTACATTAGCCATCCTCCTTTGGCGGTGTGAACCAACCTGAAACATACAGATAAAAAATTGTTGAATTAATATATAAAGATGAATGTTCTGACCTTACCGAAATCATTTTAATGTACTGTTTACTCTCAGACAAGAAACAATTTTGAGAGGCATGTGAATAAAGGCACCACTATTCTAATTCCTTGCGCTTTAAAATAAGATGATTTATTTCCAATTCGTAATTCAAATAAATTTCCGTATAGTGACTGTGTAAGAATATCCACTACTCCATGGGTATGTTCCAAAATAGAACCCAGTGTATTGTCCAATGCAAACGTCATGAATCAACGCTATACTGGTGATTCGTTCCAAAACATAGGACACTATATGACGTCATACATTTGCGCCATATTGGAAAAGTGTTGGTGATTATTTTGTCATTTTGTGCTCCAAAAATCATTATATCCTCCTAATGGAGATACCAGCAATTATTCTATAATTTTTTGTATTTGAATAAATAAAAACAAATTCTGGCATGCTTCATTCAGCGCACACACAATTAAAAATTGTTTTATTATGGCCGGATATCCGACACAATATGGCGGCGGCTCGCCAGTACAATATAGTGTTAATTGATGACGTCATTTTTATTCGGCAGTATACTGAAAACGTTTTATCATTCTGTGGGCGTCGTAAGAGACGACAGAGGTAAACAAATCAAGAGATGGGCAGCAGCGTCTTCCTCATAAAAACTAACAATGAGAAACTGCAGTTGCCAACCCGCTTGCTAAGCGTCGAAACTATGTCAAAAATACCTCCTATGAGCCAATCTATGACAGAAGCCTATGTCTAGCAGTGGATTTTAATAGACTGCATTGGTAACGGAATTGTGGTAAGACTGGTATTTGGTATTGTATATTGAGAGCCTGGGTGGTGAATTCGGTAGCATGCAAGTCTGTTGTAAAATAGATAAATGTTAGTGTTAATAATATAAGTTACGCTGATGACATAGTGCTGCTTAGTACATCAATTAATGTATTAAGAAAATTGTTAAGGCCTCTTCAAATTCAGTGAGAATAAATCTGAGTTCATGGTGCTTTATTTAATAATACAATGGATCCCCGGTAATCCGACAAACATTTTTCAGGGCAGTGTCGGACTATCGAATTTGTCAGATTATAGAATACTGCCTAACACCCTTATAGTTGATTTTTTTTACAAAAGAGTACCTTGTAATCTAAAAATTACAGATCCAATGACAAGCTTCTATATGTTGGGTGTTAGTTTAAACACCGTTATCCTTGAAAACAATGGTTTGGTTTCACTTATAGAACGTTAATTCAATGAATTTAAAAAAACGCAATTTTCTTTCATAAAATTTAAAGTTTCTTTCTGTCCGACAACATCCGTAAATTCATGGATACCCTATGCGCCTAAGTGACGTAATCACTGTAAAGATCACCGCGCGCGCTAGCTACCTATACAACATTCCAATAAAAACACAATCAGCCCTATTAATAAACACAGACTTGAGCAAGATTAACTTTACTCCTTGTTTAAAGCACCTGTTAACCAAGCCTAGCTCACATTAGATCGCGCAATACCAACCTTACGCCCGCCAAGTAGTGATCGAATTAGATCAGAATTATGTAAACATGTCTACCTATGAAAAAACTATTTTTTCGTTTTAAACAAAACCAAAGACACTATGCAATAGATATTAGTATCAAAGACAAAGATATGCTCTTTTATTTTAAACCATAACCTGGCAATGTTTCTTAGAAAAAAAAAAAAAGAAATCACTCTGAACTTTCGGCGTTCCACGTGCCGTTTTGATGACGGTGCTCCGTTTTTTTATAGAATTTTATATTTGTGTCTGGACTAAAAACGAAAGTATTATACTTTTTTATATTCCTTGTAATATAGTGAACACATATATATATATAATTTGTGGTATAAAAAGTGAAAAATAAATTGCCAAAAGTGCTTCAAAATCTGGAAGGCCCATTATGGCGGCTGGGTCATAAATGTGGTATTTTTCACATTCTCATTTATTTTTAGTGTAAAATGTAAGTAAAAATAGTTTTCTTACATATTTCAAATAACTTGACGTTGTATTTATTTCAAATTCACACAAAACTATTTTAGAAATATTGTTCTAAATGTCACACAGATAAAATATTAATATTTAATTTTTTTTAATTTCTTTATATTTTATATTTTGGTATGAGTAACGAATGGAAACACATAAAACATAAAAATATACATATTTCCAAACATTTTCATATAAATTTCTCTAAAAACAAAAGTGTAGAATTCAAATTAGTAGTAATTTTGTCACTAAAATTGAAGTATATACCACTATACAGCTATACAGGGTAATTACGTATTTTATTACAATTTCTAGCAACCAAAAACAATTTTATTCGATAGTTTATACATTCAACAAGAATTCCTGTAAGTTTTATCCATAAATATTGTCTCAAAGTGAAAATATAGCAAAATTTGCAATATAGCAAAAAATTTGCTAATTTTCAAATTTTGCCGCCATTACGGTCCCGAGCGAACGGGAGTATAACATGTCGCGCGCTGTCAGAGCTTACAGGTTAAAATATCTAATTTCAGTATTAATAAACATAGAGTAAGGAGGTAGTAACTAATCCGAATCTACTCTCGGAATAAAAGTTAATCCTTGGCGGTACCTAGTTTAAGGACTGAGTAAGCATAGACTAGTCGCGCATTTTATAAAACTTTACGTTTACGCGCGTTGTTACCCGCATTAAATTCATTTCAAGTTGTAAGCACTAGTAACAAAAACAGCATAATGGATTAAAATGCCAAGAAGTGATGTGGAGCAGAACAAAGTGATTGCAGGTTTTTATTCATTATGTGGATTTAGACAAGTGATTGGGGCTATTGATTGCTACATATTCTAATCCCGAAAGTCGCTGGAAACATCGGAGAATACTACATAAACAGGAAAGGATACAGTTCAATAAATGTACAAGTAAGTTTTATAGCACCTAGCTAGCCCATCTCTGCCGTATAGGTACTTAGTTATTTTCTCAGATTCAATACAATCACCTCAATCTATTACTTCATATTAAAGAAGTTATGAGTGCTTTGTTGCAGGTTGTGTCAAATGCAAATTTAGAGTTCATGGATACAGTGGCACATTGGCAAGGCAGCACAATGACTCAAGAATATTTAATTATCATCGTATTAAAACAAATGTTTGAGCAGTCAGAATTTAAAGGCAGACTTCTCGGAGATTCTGGTTATGCTTGTACTTCTTATTTATACACTCCTATCCTGCGTTCTAATAAACAAAAGGAAGAATGTACAACCGGTCGCACATCTGGTGGCCCCGTTACACTGTAGAACAATGCTTTGGAGGGAAGCAAAGGTTTTGGTGTTTACTGCGAGGACTAAATATTAAATAAGAGCATACAAATAATATATACATTGCAATGCAAATCAAGATCTGCTTGAGAATGTAGTATAAGGAGATGATGAAAATATATCAGTCACACAATTAGTAAATCACTCCATTAGAGGAAATTCTGTTCGGGCAGCATTTATTAACGATTTTTTTAAATAAATATACAATAATTACATGTACAAAAGATTTTATTTATCCCCAAAAAACAAAACGAAAATGGTTATTTAATTAATTTTGCCTCTCACGCTCTTTTCTTAATTCTAAAATTTCGTTACAAATAATATTAAAAATGTTTATATTTGGAACTTAGTTTTTCCACCGATTCCGAAAACAACACGAGGAACAAGGAACAACCCGTAACATTTATCTCTTGTCAAACTCAAAATATTGCCTGTCACTGTCATTAATGTCATCATCAAGCATTGAATTCATTAACTAATGGGTGCGTTTGGCAGAAAAAAGCGCTAGCAAGCGCTTATAAGCGCTAAAATAGTTTTCGGCCAGGACACGATTGCTACTTCAGTAGCGCTGACACAATCCGCCATTTTGCTTATTTAATTTGTTTGTTTTGAAGTAGAGTTTATAAGTTGTTTTGTGCAATATTAGTTTTAAGTAATATAATGACATGAATAAACATATATATGCTATTAAAAACTCATGATTGGTAAGTTTTTAATATGAATACTTTACAAACATATATTAAAATTAGGTTAGATTCCCCGGTTAAAACTAACATCGTGTCCTGGAGGAAAATAGCTATTTACGATTTAACAGCGCTCACCGCTTACGATCGCCATTTTGCTTACAAGCGCTTGCAAGCGCTTTTTTCTGCCAAACGCACCCAATCATTCACTGACTCACACTTTTTACTTTTAAAATAAGTGGGTTGCCATAGCGCAAGCCTTAATCCCGGCGTAAGGAATGTATAGTTAGTCCGAGGTTACTCCATGCTTATTAATAACATTGTAATAACGAAGTAAATAGTCAGTTACTCTGAGATTAGCTAGTCCAAGTGTAACTTCAAATTAAGCTTGGAATAAGCAATTTTTATTAATAAGGCAGAATAGGTACACATAACCTGTGATGTAACTTTTCCTTCATACTTTCATCCTGGCTTAGCATAGTCAAAAATTGAGGAATTATGGAAAAATTGAGATTTTACTAAAAAAAATGTTATTTTTCATTGAATTTACGTTCTATAAGTGAAACCAAACCACTGGTTTCAAGGATAACGGTGTTTACACTAACACCCGTATGTACTCTGAAGTACAAATCATACTTCATTATGTTTGTCAAATTTAGTGAATTAAATAACACAATAGAGAGCTTACCTAACATCATTAAAGCTATAGAACTTACAAAAAATATGCAATAACTTTACATTAGGAAATAATTGTATAAAAACAAATGTACATACTAAAATAATCAAAAATTATGAACCAACCAATTTAAAAAGCATCAATTTAAGAGCATTATCAAGAAGCAATAATGGTTTTCGAGGAAAATCTTGATCTTTCAACCATTTCCGGAACCAAACATCAACATCAGAATCCAAACAATACCCTACACGTCGAGCACAATAGTGGTGGGGCATACAAGTTATAACTTATTCAATCATGCATTAGCGAAGATTATCAGAAAAATATTCAATTTATTAATGAATATTTTTTTGATAATAGACCATGTCGGATTACAGGGGGTGCCGGATTAGACAAGGGCCGGATTACCGGGGGTTCACTGTAGCTCCCTAAAGTGCCCTGTTTAACAACCAAATTAAGTTAAAATGTGTTGCACTGTTTCAGTATCTTGGTCATATTGTTTAAGTATCTTAGTAATATTGTAAAGTACAGTCCGTACAGATAAAGAATGAGATTAGAAATAGGGGCTCATCGAGTCCGTACCGTCAACATTCACAGTACCAATAGCGAAAACCCACTAATAACGGTACAATAACGTTATATTATTTGGTAAATTGGATTTTTGTTCTACTAATGGGAATATATATGAAAAGAATTGTTGTATACTTTTTAATTGGCTTTACCTGGGTGGGATATATTCATAGAATACTATAATACATACATAATATAACGGCCGAGTGGGCGGAGCCCGTGTAGCCAATAAAATGTTACTAACATGTCAATTCACACGTATAAATGTCAACACGAGATGTGTTTTGACGTAACAATCGTTTCCAAATTTCGCATGCAAATTATTTAGAAAATACCAAATTGCACACTATTTACATATAAATATGTATTAAAATTTAAACTATTTTTATGATGATTTTGAGCATTAATCAAAAGTCTAAAATGTGTAAATTTATTGTACGACGTAATTGCTTGTATTTGTGCTCCCGGCGACGCCGATATTCTATGGATATATTAATGTGGCGTTATTTAGAGTTAAGATAATCATTGAAGATTATTAATTTTATTTTATCAATATTTCTATTTTAATAGTCTCTAAATTTTTCGTATAAACTATCACTCCTGGTATTACTCTACTAGTTCGTGAAGTTTTATTACAATTGGTTCAGCCATTCTGAATCTGATTCGCTCGGACAGCATGTAGTATGTAAATATTTTATACAAAAATATTAACAACCGAAATCATCAATAATTTTAAAGCAAACTTTCGGAACGCGTCGTTCGTCGTCAGCTAAATTTTTTCTGGACAATGACTCAACAATATTTTTGCTATCATTGATTATGGCAAGTTGGACTCAAGTTATAGAACGTACGGAGAAAGCATATTGCAATATATTTTTTGCGGTCTTTATCGACGGGTGTGAGTATAGATAGTGACAATGTGCGAGCGAGAGGTGAATATAGAGGCGATCATGCAAAAAAAAGACTGCGTCATCTGCCGTTTTTTGGTTTATTCATCAATTCTTTCAAAAAAAAAATTCTTGTCAAAATGTGATGACTCATGTCTCTTTAAATGTTCCGTTGGTTTTAGAGTATTGTAGAATATTTAGAGAGGACGGCAGACGATCCGACGGTATGACCAAAATGAATCAACATCTTTATGTGTGAGATGTGGGACTTAGTAGCAACTCCGCGGCACAGTAGCTTGGTTCTTATTAAGATAAGTCGCTCGCGTCCGTAGGCTTCGACCACCCTACACGTTTCCCCCGGGTGGTGCTAAAAGAGCGACAGCCGAAAGAACAGACTCGGCTGCTGGCCGTGTGGTAGCGTCGTAAAATATAATACCCCTAGTTTTCGCACCATAAAGCAAAAAGGAAAGGAAATGGCCCTGTGTTCCCGGCGCCCCTTTAATGGGGAAGGGGTGCGTGCGAATCTCCTGGAGGAAAACCGGCGACGAGGTTCGCCACCCGTCACATTCTATCTCCCGGAAAGGCGAAAAGAGGATTGCGGTGGCCCGTCTAGCTACGCTGAATGTATGTGGAGCAATGAATGCTAAGATGAATAAAGTATGCAATATGAAGTATGATAGAGGTATAGATGTGTTATGTGTGAATGAGACGAAGCAGAAGGGAAAGGATGTCACTACACATGGCATATATACCGCGTACTGGTTCGGTATAGATGAGTCTCATTCAGAGATCTGTGATGCGACAACCTACCACCACTTTCCTTTCTGTGACTTTGCACTGATAAAACATTTACACGAAAACATTTCTTCAAATCTAACCACAGCAGATTCCATACAACATTATGCTACGATATTAATTAAATAAATAAATCTAGATGTTTTATCAGAACAGCTTTGCTTTCTAGTTTAGACTAAACTTGAACTTGATACAAACCTTCAGTGAACACCGGAGTGTTCACTGAAGGTTTGTATCAATGTTTTAGTCCCATAAATTGTGACATTTCACAAATCAAGAATAATTGAAATTTACCTGACAAAACTGTAATAAGCAACTGGAGGTTGCATTTTATTAAATTAACTTACTGATTATACAAATGTAGCAACTCACCATTCTTTTCATGTATCTGAACGAGGCACTTGAAGCTCTGTTGAGCACGAGCCAGACTGTACTGTGATTGGGTGACAACTTTGGTGGCTCCGAACTGAATTCTCGCCTTGCCCTTCACTAGTGTGGCAGCTATCTGCATTATAACAGCTTCCACTGTGTATGCTGACGACCAGCCCTGCTTTGTTAGCAACTCCATGCAGATGGCGCCACCAACAAGCACGTAACCTCCTGAAAATTTAAAATAAATGACTTACAATCAACCAGATTGATATAGTGCTGTACATAATGTAATAACATGTCTTAGATAAGAAAGTTCATGTATTAGAATAACTTTTAATAGTTCTTGGAAAAAGTTTTTTTATAACAAGAGTGAAAAATGAGATAAAAATCAACCTGATAGCAACTGCAACCAAAGTTCATCTGTAAGATGATTATTAATTTTATTTTATACCACCAACCAACTTCGTATGAAGAAGGCTATAGATAAGTTTACACTCATGAGGACTAAGTGAGAATGCCTCAAATCCTGTAAATATGATGGCTCTCTATATACCATAGAATACTATAATACATAAATAATAGAACGGGGGAGTAGGCGGGGCCCGTATAGCTACTAAAATGCCACTAACACGTCAATTCACACATATAAATGTGATGTGTTTTGACATTACAATTGTTTCCAAATTTCACATGCAAATTATTTAGGAAATGCTAAATTGCACGCTATTTACAAATAAATATGTATTAAAATCTGTCTGTCAACACAGCAAATTGGGTTTGTAGTAGTGATTAACTGATAATACGACATAATTGCTTGTATGTGTGCTCCCGGCGACGCCTATCGTCGTACAATATAAGGTTGACAGCCATTCTATTGTGTATTATAGTATTCTATGGTATATACCCTTCGTACGAGATTGATGCAGTGCTGCATGGTGGCAGAAATAGATGGTAAGGAGTTGGCACTTAATCACTAAATAATATTTAAAAATCTATTAACAGTAAAATATTGATGATTTATATTAAAAATTATAGATGTTATATTATTTTGTAATTATTAATAAATTGTACAAATAATTTTTGGAAACCTTGTTTAATATAATAATAATATAATAAAAGCCTTTTATTCAGACAATGTTAGTTTATACTTTCTTCCATATATTTTTCTTCAACAAAAATTTTGCTTCAACATCCCTGTCTGTGTGCCTCTTTTGACAAAGGCCTCCTCCAACTGTGACCATTTTTCTCTGTCATCAGCCACTCTTGTCCATGTGCCACCTGCAACAGCCTTTATTTCATCGATCCATCTTATGGATGGTCTTCTTCGTTTTCTTCTCCTGTTTCTTGTGAACCAGAACATTATTGTTTTTGACCATTTTTCTTTGCCCCTAATTGTATGCCCTATCCATTTCCATTTTAGTTTTCTTATGGTTACCGTAATGTCCCTTGTTCCGGTGAGTTTCTTTATGGTTGTAGTTCTTATTTTATCTTTCAGTTTTTTGCCCATCATACTCCTTTCCATAGCATTTTGGCACACTGCAAGTTTTCTGTTGAGAGATTTAGTAAGACACTTGACACTTGTATACTGCCTGTATTGACATATGGTTGCCAAACCTGGGCACTTACGGAAACCTTGTTTACAAAAATAAAAATATGATAATATATTTACCTGATATGATAGGATAAACGACGCGAACAAACGGCGGTTCAAATGGGTATGTCTCCTTGAACATAATGTTGAGCAGTATGGAGTCCTTGCCTTCCTTCTCCTTCAACAACAGCAGATCATTGTGAAGAGGACTATCCGGGTCTACTGAACGTAGTCTTATATTCCATTCATATAAGGAATCATTCACTAATTCTGCAGGGGAAATTACTTACAATCAAAGAGTGAAAACTTTTCAAGAACATGAATGCATTGCTAATATGATTATTGCAAGAAAATTATTTGCTGTGTAGTAGCGGTGAAAGAGCAACACAAAAAAAACATTAAAAAAAACTGCAGTTGCCCATTCTGGAGGTGTGGCAAATAAGCTAGGCCTATATTCAGCAGTGGAATTTTGATGCATTGTTAGGAATTACTGAATAAACTAAGTATAATATCTTGGGTAAGTATTGAATTATTTTGTTAGATGTGATGTCATAACACATATATTATAAGATCTAATGAGTTTTTACCTAATTAAATCGATATCCATCTACAAAACGTAAGACACAAGCTTTACTAAGTTACTACTATATTATGTACACAAAAAAAAGAAAGACTGATTCCCCTCAAAATGATTTCAACTTAAAAAATCTTAATTATAACTCTCTTCTTGTGCCATGAATCATATACAGTGGACACCTGGTAATCCGGCCCTTGGCTAATCCTTTCCCCCCTGGTAATTCGACATGTCTTAACCTGTAGCTAGATTCGAGTCGCGCTTTGAATCCGCCACGGGGGGGGGGGGGGGGGGTCCTTCTCAAATAATACGTGAACAAATAGGTTACAATTAGTTCGCGACACCACGAACCCAGCTTCACGCGTATTGTCATAGTTCCAAATGTGACTATAGCAGAGGCCTTGGGGGCGGCATTCAAACAGTAAATATTTAGGTATCCATTGTGCATCACATGACATTTTTATTTTTTATATTTGATATGTAATTTGTCGGATTACAAGGTACTCTTTTAAAAAAGTTCTGGACTACCGGGGGGCTGTGGCAGTACTCTATAGTCCGACAAATTCAATAGTCCGACACCGCCTTGCGAAACGTTTGTCGGATTAGTGCGGGTCAACTGTATGAACATTTCGATTGTTTAACTATTGTGTCTATTTTGGGGACAAGGAAACTGTTAAAAAACATGTGGCCTTCCCTATCAGTCTGGGATTAAGTGAATAATAAGATGAAATCCTCAGTTACGCATACTACTAGAAAGACTTCAAGCACTTCACTGTAAACTCTTTTACTTTTACAACTCTTTCTGCATAGGTCAGAACATAATTATTAAATAATGAAGGCTGTCCGTCGGCATACAATTGCACTAGCTTACATTATTTTAATCAGTGAGAATAGTAAATATTTGGCTTTGGTCTACCGTGTAAATATATATGTATCAATTATAACACAATTTGTTTTTTATAATTTAATATCTGTTGCGGAATAATTTCCACTAGCAAACAATTCCTAAAGGAGTTACACAATCAAAATGCAGACAAAATTAATAGCTACTGTAAAACACTCGAAACGTCGGAGACAATAAATAATTTATTATTAAGCATAATAAAACCAGTAAATAAAATGAGAACATCATAAAGTCAAGGATAACTCAAAAACTACTTCTCAGATCTTGATCAAATTTATATGGGACCACACTAGAAGCACCATCTTTCAAATAAAAAAAGAATCATAAAAATCCGTTCACCCAAAAAAAAGTTCTGGTATATGTGGAGGTATGACATATTTAAAAAAACACAGTCTGATTGAATAAATACTTCCTCCTTTTTGAAGTCTATTAAAAATTAGTTTTATTCATTTAGTATTTGTGTTAATGCGAAATCATTAAATAAATAATAACTTAACCCATTAAAAAAAATTGAATACACATTATTTCACAAAAAAACTGGTTAAATAGATGGGATTTAGACCGGATTACTTTTGGGTGTGTAAAATTTAAGACAAAGTGTACAACAAGTGTGTGGTGAACAGTAATGACTTACATAACCAAAATATGGTCCCTCACTGTTAGACGTGTGAGGAAGCTGATCGTCTCTCAGCAAGTAAAGGAGATAAAAATAGAGAGAGAAAATCTGTTAAGGTTGTTCACAGAGTAACTGACATAGTTCAGCGTACCTGTGGATCACTAGATAAAAGAACAAATGTCGGACTATCAGCTCCAATAAATAGAACCTTAAAAACTTATAATGTAATTTCTAAATTAGTCGATCTTGACATATTCAACGATTCTTATACCACTTTTAAAAATAAAATTAAAAAACATTTTTATAACAAAATTAAGATAACCTCATGAGTTATTGTAGAAAAAAAAAGAGTTTTTTTTTTCTTTGTTTGATGTATTACAATAGGTTATTTTATTATCCTTTCTTCCTTTTTCAATAATAATAATGCGTTACTTATTATTTTACTTTAACATGTTAAGTTAGCCTATAAGTATGATATGTACTAAACTTCAGATTAATCTATAAAATTTGTAAACATTTTTTCATTGTACAATATCATGTTGGCTTCCTAATAAATAAATAAAAAAAAAAAATAAAAAAAGTGGCAATGGGGCAGCCATATAGTTCGCCTATAACCAATGGGGAAATAAGTTTTTCAAGAGGCAGTTTAATCTACCCCACACTATATAAAGTGACAACCTGATTGAAGAATGTTTCATGGACTCAATACATGGGTGTGGCTCTGGACCTTATGAGCCTTATGGTCAGTAGATGCGTGTGATGGGCTGTAGTGATAGTGTGTAACTGACACTTTTAAATGGAACATGGTACAAAAATTTCTTGTTACGCCGACTGATACTCACCTATAGAGTACATATTGCTTTTGAAAGAGTGGGAACGATAAATGTCGCGTAGCTCTTTCATAAGCCTATCGGTGGCCTGTAGACTTCCTGAAACACTGCCTGACAGGTAGTCTTGCCGTTGGTTTTGTCTCAGTCGTTCTAATGTTGCTAAATGCTCTGTTTCCATGTCATCCTGAAATAATACAAATATTTTTTAGTTATTGCAACAAATCAGCACATGCTAGCACAGAAGCACTTCCTCTGCCTTAGTCACCTATTAAAAATAGTTTAATACCAAGCTTGACATGAACAATCAATAACACTTTGGATCCAAACTATTTGTTTATGACCAAATTTTGTCTTTAACTGTAATTCAAATGAGCAGTCATAGACCACAGAATATTATGTTTAATACATAGATGGAACAGATGTATAAGGTTTGGCATTGACAATACGAACGGTAAAAAATAAATGGTTTATTTTATACATATCAGTAGCACATTTTACACAAATTTTGCTCTCTACACTTCTTTTGTATATAAACTTTAACTATAACACATATCACAATCCTAGGTGTGTGCCAGAACATACTACTAATAAACAGTGTTGTTTTTCAATTATCTCCAATTATTTTAAAAATTCATGATACACCTCTCTCTTGTCTTTCAATTTTACTACTTAGATGTCATCGAAGTTATAGTAAAAACAGAATACTAGGCCATCTTCTAAGAAATGTACCGAACGCCGCTAATATGTGTGCGTTCCTGTCACGTGCCGGTACGAGTCCGTGTCCGCACGAGCCACAGCACGCACACAACGATACTTGGTAAGTCGGGAAGATCGGACCGAGTCGGGGCCGCCCACCGTCGCGCTCGGCAGTCACCTTTGTTTGAGACTTTGTTGATTTTTAATAAAATTTTGCTAGCAGTTTTTTTTTTCGTTTTATTTTTTCTTTTTTGTAAAATAAATTAATATATGCGTTTGTTTACGTAAATTAGCTTTTTATTAATAGTTTATATTACTATCTCTATACAGATACATACCACATAAGTACATTAATTTTCATATCACGTAAGATCAAATTTATTTTAAACATTTACGCCTTTAGTACACCTACGCGTTTGTATGCGGCAGCCAGCCACCGCGGAACTACTGCGGTAGCGAAATAACTGCGGAACGTTAGCACACTGCAATTTTTTCGCAAAGAAATGTCATTGTAATTTTCATGGAATGCGTGTACACAGACTTCATTTAAAAATGTCTTCTGGGTCGTCCCAGCCATCGCTTGCAGATTCTGAAGAAGAAGAACTGTTGTTGCTGGGGTCAGTATTAAAAAGAAACCGTAGAATCGGGATAGATGGGTGCATCGAATTAAATTGAAAAATATTTCAATATTTTCGCAGAACATCAATCATCGACAGAAAGCCTGCAGACGCCTTGCGATGTGAACACTACTAGCGAAACGTCTACGTCTGTGTAACGATGATTTCGCAGTTACTTGCGAAACAATACCGTCAAAGACTCAACCATTTAATCTATAACAGTGCTAGAGGGAGACATAACATATGCGTAACTTTGCCGTACTACTGACAGTTTTTGTTTCGCAGACACATACGAACGCGTAGGTGGTACTAAAGGCGTAAATCTGAGCTGACACCTTATGCTCAGTGTTAATTTACTCGTATTTTATTTATTTGATTGACATTAGTAATTTAATGTAATGAGCTGTATGTAAATAAAAAAAGCTGGAATTTTTTTTGACAAACTTGAATTTTTTTGATTCTTTGATAGGAAACTAAAGAAATGATTAACAAATATGATTCACCTATGCATCCGTATTTATTATGTTTGTAAATATTATAACTACTTATAAAACTAAATGAGACTTAGTCGTTAAACAAAAAGATTAACAACCCTGCAACAGTAGATATTTGAGTGTCGCGCGGGGCATGAGACATCCCACTATTCTGTTTTTACTATGTCAAAATGTACATGCTAATAATCATTTGATGTTGTATATTATGTATAAAATTTAGCTTTAATCAAGATTCTATGTGCATATATAGAACACAAATAGAAAACATAGTTAAAAGTATAATTGTTTTCTCCTTCAAATAACATCTGTACAAATTATATTACTACTTTATTAACTCAAATGAAAATAATAGCACATCTACTTTACCTTGTTACTACGGCCAGCTTCATCAACCATTTCCAGTGGCAAGTCATCTTCCCCTTCAGATTCATCTTCCTCGGCTGCCATTTCCTCGTCTTCCTCTGTGCCTGATTCTGCACCATTTGAAGTTACACTTGGCACTCTATAATAGAAAATATCCATTTAAATAATAATGTTTCTCAAGTCAATTAAATCTGGTTTAAAGTTTATCATACATACCATACCACTTGATCATTATAATATAGCACCATTAAAAATCTTGGAAGATATAAAAACCATATAAAACTTCCTATTATGTAGGACACTCATTAAGTTTTGAGATACACAAAAAGTATTCTAGACACTATTAATCACAGAAATCGTAATAATAAGACAATAGAAGTGGCATAAACGCGTGACCTTGTCGCCGCTTATATGGGTTGACGAACATAATTCACCATTTTGTGATTTAGTTGTGTGGGGAACGTCGTACGTGAATTTTTGTTATTATAAATTTATAATGGTGAACTGCAGCATAATCAAACTCAACAAGGACGTGTTACTAATAAAGGCATAACATTTCATCAGTATGTTGATTATTTACTAATTATCATTGTTTTAATTAATTTACATCTAGATAAATACTTTACTATGACATATACCTTTGCAAACTCATTTATTACTTTTCGTATTGTACAATTACCATTGCTGCTTTTGTTCTACCGTAATACGCGACACACGCGACATTGACAAACTCGCCAAGTAATTTAATATGAAACATTAGATATCATTGTGCATTGCGTATGTTTATAATACGGTAAGATGAGGCGACATCGGTTTTGGAAGTAATCGAGCGCTAATTCATTTCTATATTGACCTTTTATTATTACGATTTCTGTGCTATTAATATCTATTTTACATCTTTTCAAAATATTCTCCATCATGCTCTATAGCTCTATACAAAGTTCCATTCGCCTAAAGTTTAGGCGAATTTTGAAATTTAGGCCCTAAACCAACTCTGTTTTCAGACTTGTCTTCTTGATCTGACAGGTCGGAAATTGTTTTTTCGTAGGCAGCCACGGCTTCTTGGGCGCTTGTAAAAAAACTTCTTTTATTTTTTCTTTGACTCTTGGAAACAAAAAGAAATCACAAGGAGCTAAGTCAGGGCCGTAGAGTGGCTTAAAGTTTCAACACCAGATTCCTCAATAAATGCTTTTGTTCTAAGGGAAGCATTATCGTGATGCAGCATGATTCCCCAAAGCCTAGTCTTTGGTATTCTCTACCGCACATCCTGAAAAGCTTTGGGTAATACAACTGTAGTATACCATTCAGAGTTGACTGACCTACAATTTTCCAGCATTGACGTCGATAAATGTCTGCTCCGCGAAAAAAAACTAGCCACCATTTTTTAGCCGGCGCTGCGAGGTTTTTGCAGTTTTGTCGGTAACTGTCCTTCTGAGTAGACCCATACCGATGGATAGGGTGACAAACGAGCACACAGTTCACCTGATGGTAAGTGGTTGCCGTGGCCCATAGACATCTACATCTATCCTCAATTACGAATCGAAATGCAGATGCGTTGCCACCCGTGAGGACTTAGACGGAATAAATACCTTGTTTCCAGTAAAAAAGGTTCTCCATTATGTACACTCACCATACGAAACACAGCAGCATTAAGTTACTATTTGACGCTGGTATTCTGTGAGTGTGGTCCTTCCCCGGTCGAGCCGACCCATTTGTGCTACAACTATTCTACTAAAATACCTGTAACATATGGCTATACCACGTATAAAACGTCGCCATTTATTTTGAGGATCATATTGATAGATCCATGTCTCATCACCAGTAAAGATTTCTGAAACACGGCTAAATGCCCCGTTTTCAAAACGTAGACACATTTCATGGCACCAATCTACACGAGGCTGTTTTTATTTCGGAGAGCAAAAGAAGGATCCATCGACAACAAAGCTTCCTCACTCGAAAAATGTTGATGTAGGATGATATGAATGCTCCCCGAACTGATGCCTACAATCTTTTCGATGTCAGTATATGTAATTGTGGGTCTTCTCACACCAACATTTCAGTAGTCCATATATTTTTTGCCATTACCGCTGTTTGCGAAACCCCAGTTCTTTGGTCATCTTTAAGGTTAATTTTACCCCTTTTGAATTCAGCAAACCACCTAAAAAAATTGTTGCGCGTGATGGAGCTGAGCTGAATCCCCTAATGCTGATTGTAACCGTTGTAAACCTAATTGTACGGTTAAACCAAATTTAAAATCATAATAGATCATAGTGCGCAAATGTTCACAGTTAAGATCCAACGTTTTAAATGAAAAACGCGGGAAACGTTGCACAAAAATTAATAGAACTTTGTTTTTTTTTTTTATATAAATTTGCTTTTTAGAAACATATAACACAGGTGCATTCCGTTTTTCAAATTTTGAGCATCTCAAAACTTGTTGAGTGACCTATGTATAATGTTAATTAATATGGATTTACATAATATGTGAGATTATGTCTTCAGTTTAAAAAAACTTATGAGTTAAAATAAAAATATGCAGCATAACTTCAATATTACAAAAAACATAATCCAATCACGCCATATAATTTTAATTAATTATTACTAATTACATTAGCCTACATATAAATGATTAATTAGTATCTTCTTTAGCAGATCATAAGCCTTTACACGGGCCTCTCTTATTGTAGGAATGATTTGTTGTACCACATGTTTCACTATTTTGACACTTAGATGTCAATAAACATAGTCTTAAGTAGTTGAACACTTTGTCAATTTTTTTTCTTTTTACAAATACAATATCTTATCGAGAAACATATTAACAACATGTACAGAATTTCAGGTCATAGAAAGTAGGTATCAAGAGGCTTTTCTATCCTTTATTATTTTAAACATTATTTTGACCATGCATGAACTAGAAGGCGGGGGAATACAAATATCGACAATATTGTTTTAATTTTCCTGGCCCTGGGGCGTCTTCAAGTGACTCTCTGCCTTGTTTAAACAGGGTACGCAACTTGTAAACCATAGTTTTACTTGGACAAGAGCCTCCGTAAGCGGATGACATCTCTTCCAGTATAGTTTGAACTGATCTTCCGTGCTTTAAAAGGAACTTTATAATGGCACGGAACTCGATTTTCTCCATATTTTACAATTTCTTACCGATTGACTTATGTGGTTGACGATAACTCAAAGACTAATGATTTAATTACAATAAAACCTGGTATTTATACTAAGAATGAGTTTCTCAATTAGTACATAATTCAGCGACATCCCCACTTACCCTACCTCCTGTCGTCCTATACCTACCTACCCATTCCGCAAACTTAAAAACGCACCCTCGTATTTCTTAATTTATTTAATGGGTCTTCGAGCATCATTTGAATGTTTAGTAAAAATTAATAAATAAATACATTACATAACAAAATGTAAGAAATAATGGAAAAGCTGAAACGAAAAATTAACACATCAAGACAAAGTCTGATATCACGAGTCAATAAAATAAAATAATTAGCTAATAACTAAATAGCTGTATAGTTGTGGAGTAGGAATAAAAATAGATTTTATAATTCTATATAGATTATTAATAATACTTATTGAAAGACATTCTTGATTCATTTACAACTGGTTTAGAAAATAGCTCTATCCTGGAAAGAACCAGCAATAAACTCAGAATATATTTTATTCTGCTGAGTCATTGCCCAATCAAATATAATCGGTAGTCTATAGGGGAGGCCAATGTTTGGGAGAGGACTTAGGCTAGATAGGCTTTAAGTAATTACTGTATGTATGAAAGTGAAAATAAAATAGTAACAACCTGTAATTCAATCCTGCAAAATTAGTATTATGATTTTACAAATTATAAGCTCTATTATGTGTGTTTTAGAATAATTTTGAATATGAAAAAAAACACTATATATTGATTAAAACTACTTTTACGGATTTTATCATGTTGCATTTTAATTTTAATAATTTTTATTTTTAATGCCTAACGAATATAAGAAATCATAAACTATATGTAATAATTAATGCTTCTTCAATCTAAAAAAGTATATATCTGATAAGAAAAAACAGTACAATATTACATTACAATATTGTGTAATATGCAATATTTTCAATAAATTAGTTTGCAATAATTTTAAATAGTTAATTAATGGTTCAAGACACCATGATTGTGGCAAAAATACAAACATTACACATTTCTTCACAATTTGATAAATTCTATTAAATTAGACAGTACTAACTTTTATATAACTTTTCTTATATATATATTTTATATAATTTAGAAATCGAAAATATTTATTTTTATATATGGTAAGTTTTCTATATTAACAATTATAAAAAAAAAATTGCAGAGAATGCATGTTAATACTGAATTGTTACAATTATTTGTTATAGTTTAACAAAATTACCTTTGTTGTGGTGCAGGATGGACGGGAAGCGACAAGGAGTCCAAGTCTGGGGGCTCAGGCACACCATGTAATTTGCATAATTCTCTCAATAAAATACCCACCTATAATAATTTTATTTAAAAACATTAATTAGTTATACAAAATTTCATAAATGAAAAATGAGCAATAATCCTAATTTCCCATAAACTCTTCTATCCACAATGCTACATGTTTACCTTTATATGAAATTTGATATTTTAGATGTACTCAATGCAATGAAGATTGACCTCGCTGATAAAAATGATTCACATAATATACAAAATAACTATAGAAATAATGATTCAAATTAATTTCATATGAATAAAATTATTATTATTATTTAAACAATGAGAATTATTTACATGCCTCGAAAAAATTGTTCAAATAATATGTCATCCTATGCCAAAGTCTTTAATGAAAGCACCTAACAAAAATTGTAAGCAAGAACACAATAAAATTCTTGCCCTGCTTTGATTTTGCTATCATCTATTAAAATAATTTTACATACCTGATTTATAACATGATTATCTCTGCCTTGTGTGTTGCTGAGAATTTGAACAGCATTTGTCACACTAGGATCTTCACTATCAGCAAACCACACAGGTGGTGTGTTTGGGTAAGTTTCCTACAATAAAAAATAATTATAGAAAATTGAATCAAATTATAATTGGTAATTATCTGGGTGACAGGTGTGTTTATGTTATGTGAATCAAATTATAATATTTACAAATAATATAACTATGAATAAATTTGAAAATGTACAGGAACCTGCTTTATTATTTTTGTATTAATTAACAAATTATTATAATAACTATAGCCATATATACAACTGTGTAAGGACACATTGAAAATCTATAGAATTAAAACATAGCTGACTCGACTTAAAGAGAACTTATTTCAAAAATTAACCAATCTTTTTATTTTTAGACCGAATTAAATATATAATGTTACTTTTATAGGTTTTTATAGATCATATTTTTGAATAGTTTTATTATTCAAACAGATACCAAAATAAACAAATTCAATTAACATTACAATCCTAATTTTGGATAAATAACATGCTAACCAATCACAATTTTAACAGTTAACTGATTACCAATAACAAAAGTGTGAAACATGAATTCTACGTACGTACAACAAAAAATCGGTAGAAAGAGAATGACTAAGAGCCTTTGTCCTAAAATCGCGCTTCAGTACCGTTATCCAAACAAAACAGATGTTACCCTCGATAGAACATAGCTGTATTCAAATAAAAGACCACAGAAACTTAAATGATCGATAAGAGTTATTTGTCACGGACATTTATAAGCATTGTGAACGCTACATAGGTAGTGCAATCAATAACATAGCGTGTTAGGTATAAACTCCTATAAACATGTTCAAAAACAAACATTGTTGTGATTAGATAATGTTTCTAAAGTTATATTTTGACATATTCTCCTGGAAAATGTGGTATTTCACTTCCGTAAACTTTCTGTTGACAGCCCTGCCCTCATAAACAACGACTCTTTGTCCATACTACAGGTAATCAATAAGCGCATAGGATTAGCCTCACCTAAAATTAAAGTACTACACCAAGATGTAGAAACATAGAATTATTACTTACAGTAATATTTGCATGTATTTCATATTTCTTTCCATTTTTGCCAACGAATCTGCAGGTCAATTCATCCACACTAGCTGACATTATCTGAAACCGCTCATGGTTTTTTGGAAACACTTGTTCTAAGGTCTTGATTTCTAACTTAAGCGTATTTAAGCAAGCCATTAGTGTGTTGAAACACTAATTTTTAAAAGAGTAACTAAAATCCGCCTTAGAATACATAGAAATAATATTTTACGTTCACTCCCAATCAAGCAAAATGGCGGAATACAATGGCGGACAGTATTTTTTCTTCTATTGACGTTAGAGGGCGCTTTATGTATAAAACTTTTTTCATGTAGAGTATCGATTATCTTATTTCGTACAACTTCGTGATTTTGAAATGTTTAAAACTTCTTAAATTATTTGTTATTGTATTAGTTGTTATGTATTATACTTACAAATTGTTGCAAATCAAATTACTGAAATAAGCATTAATGATGAAATATTCCAAGGTACACAAAATATAAAACAATTTAAAAAGCTAAATACAATCTCAAACTAACAAACAAGTTAGTTTTTGCAATTCCAAACTTGTTGGTTACTTATATATTTTGAATTTTGAAGTACTTATATAAATTAAGTGATACCAATCAAAAGAAATTAAAATGACAACTATAAATTTAAAAAATCAAAAACTTTTTATCACCTGTTACTATATTATGTGGTATTTGTGATGAAAATTGATGTGACTAATACACGTTCAAATATTGAGTGAAGTGCCCAGTATAATCTGAATAATGCTGTATATTGTATTGAATTTTATTTTGTTTGTAATGAGTGAAACGAGTCTCACAAGTTCTTTTTTAATATTTTGCTCTACTAGAAGTCCTATGTTCTCAATATTTACTACACAATAACGCAATTTAGTCTATCGCATTCCCCAGTAAGTTTTGTCCGACAATACAATATTACATATTATATTATCGTAATCATAATTTTAATAGGTGTTATTAATAATATCCATCCATCATAATATATGGCTGTTGAAAAAATTTTCAGTGAGTGTATACTGAAAATTATTTCAAAGCCATAGTATTACGCAACATTTGATACCAGCGGTATTAACAATTTAATGTATAGATAGATAGATAGAAAATTCTTTATTGCACTCAAACAAAACAATTTGGTACAAAGGCGAACTTAATACCGACAAGGCATTCTCTGCCAGCTAACCTTTTGTAGTGTGGTGAGAGCTATGGGTAGAGCCGCGAAAGAAAGAAAAACTAACTTATTTATTCATACTATTCAAAACGCATTATATAATATTATGTATATGTTAGTTTATACATATATATATATATTTTTTTTTTTTTTTTTTACTTATACACATACATACATATATATTTAAATAAAATATATACTAAACCAATAAAGCATACAATATAGTATACGAAATTATAATAAACATAATCAATAAAATTAATCAAGTAATTTTAAGTGATATGCATCAAGCTTACGTTTAAATGTATTTATTGAAGAAGCATCTTTTAAATCTCGTGGAAGGTTATTCCAAAGTGTAATCGGTGATACCGTGAAGGAATCCGAGTATTATGCAGATTTATGCATCGGGATAATTAGAGTTTTGTTGGTCATCGAACGGTATAAGCTTAAATATGAAAAACGCTCTTTTAGATAAACTGGGGAACAAGGATTGTTAAGAATACCATACAAAGTGGTTAGAAGGTGTGTGTTCCAGCAAAAACGGATGTCGAGCCACTTAAGTCTTGAGCGAAATTGTGATATATGATCAAACTTGCGCAGGCCAAAAATATAGGGTATGCACAGATTGAACAGGCGATCGAGTTTGTAAAGCAGCTCCTCAATTATATCTGGATAGGCAATATCGGCATAATCAAAAATAGGAAGCAACAGAGAGTTAAATAGCGTAACCTTGGCCGTCTGAGGAATAAATTTTTGCCAGAGCTTTAATGAATGCATAGTTCCAAAAATACGTCTCCTGACCTTATTAACCTGTAGCACCCAACTTAGATCGTCAGCCAAAATTAAGCCAAGGTTCTTAACCTGCCTAACATATTCTAAATCTACACCGTTTAAAAAGTCACCGTTGTCAAGTCGACATGTAATTTTTCTGCTCCCTATGATTATAACCAGTGTTTTGGTAGGATTTAATATTAGCTCATGACATCTTGCCCACTGATGAACTGCAGCAAGATCAGAATTCATTCTGTCAACAGATGAATTTATGTCATTTAAATTTAAATGCTGATACAGCTGGAAATCATCTGCGTACAGGTGATATTTGCTGAAATTTATTACGGAAACAAGTACATTAATAAACACAGAAAAAAGCAACGGTGATAAAACACTGCCTTGAGGAACACCAGCAACAACGTTACACCAATCGGAGAACTTATCATCAACACGTATGCGTTGCCGGCGTCCCCGAAGATAGGAACTGAACCATTGTAGAACTGACGATGTTAAATTCAGGGATTTCAAAATTGCTAACAGGATGTCATAGTCAACACAGTTAAAGGCGTTACTGAAGTCCAGAACTACAAGAAGAGTTAGTTGACGATTATCCATCGCGAAGCGGATATCATCAGTTATTTTAATTGAGGCCGTGGAAGTACTGTGCAGAGATCGGAAACCATACTGATAAGGATTAAATAGGTTGTGTTTGTTTAGAATTTTTGAGAGTTGGCCATGAACAACCTTTTCAAGAATTTTGGAGAAGAAGGAGAGGATAGATATTGGCCCATAGTGGCTGAAATTAGTAGGAGAGATATTTTTGGGGACAGGAATAAGGAACGCTTCTTTCCACTTGGTAGGGAAGGTACTGGAGGCAAAGGAGTTTATTAGGTGAGTGATATGGGAAACTATTTGGTCCAAAATCGGCAAAACCATGTCACGTCAAATATTATCTGGGCCGACAGCTTTGCTGGATATGACGGATGCAATTTTTTTTACTTCATTATCAGTCACTGGTTCAAAACAGAAAGGAGTACAACATGGTAAAGGGAAAGAAGTGATATCTTTAATAGTATCGCTTTTGACTGTTGAGTCCAACGAAACTGGTAAAGAGCAAAAGTGTTTGTTGAAAGCTGTTAAATCAAGGGACTGACTAACATTCTGTTTGCTTTTACCAAAGCCTAGGCTGCGCAAAAACTTACATAGATTCTGGGTTGTGCAAGTCTCAATAGTATTGTGAATATGTCGGCGTTTGGCATTTCGTATCATCTGGTTGCTTTTTTAAATCTTTCCCAGTTCTCATCACTGGGCGAACGTTTATGTTTTCTTTTAAGGCGGTCCCTACGAGCTATAAGAGATCGAATATATGGCATTAACCAAGGTGCTAGTGCCCGTTTTCATTTTTACTGGTCTTAGATGCGTTACTTTGTCATAAACTTTTGTTATAATGTTATTGAGTAACTGCAGTTTATTGTCAATATTATTAGTGTTATAAAAGTCTGCCCAATTAGCATTGCGTATCTCTATACTTAATAGCTGGCGATTCATACGCACAAGGTTACGCTGAAACATAATTTTGGGAGATGATTTAGTGGATTTAAGAGCATATGATGCGAAAATTAGATCATGATGGGAAAATCCAGGAGCCACGAATTGACCATGTAGAGATATACAATCAGGACCAGATGTAAGGATTAAATCCAGTAAAGAGTGTGGCCGTGAAAGGAAAAGCGGAGATCTCCCGTCGGGCAAGTTGTTCTGTCCGGGGAGCGGCCAACACTCCGTGTGATAGTTCGGAGATGTTCTATATATACTGTTCATGATTCGGAATGTTGATAGCGTGATTTAGGCTTCGGTGTATTTCGCTTGTGGCGCGACGACAGCGCCGCTACATCACCCCCTGCTCAGACCGGAGGTCTATAGTGCAGCCTCGTTGCCGACGAATGTGCAAGTGCCAGGAGATTGCCTTGTAGTATGCGGTGAGTCGAGAAGAAGGCAAGTAATCTGCGAGAGTGCCGTGAAACAGAGGCGAGCAGTAAGGCTCAGAGCCGTGCCGAACACTGTATGGCGCAGAGAGTAGCTTGAAGGAACAGGAAGCATTATTATTCCAGTGCTGCGATGAACCTTGTGCTAGCTAGATGGCTTACAGGATATGAAGACTGCAGACGATATCTGCTCGGGAGCGAATGGGTGGGGTATTCTATGACGATAATGAAGCTTGAAGTTTCCGAAGGTTGTTTGGTTGCGTGTTCAGATCACGTCGGATGGTCACCACTGTGGCCGTGGAAAGGAAAGGGGAGATCTCCCGCCGGGCAAGGTGTTCTGCCCGGGGAGCGGCCGACACTCCAAGTGATAGTTCGGAGATGTTCTATATATACTGTTCATGATTCGGAATATTGATAGCGTGATTTAGGCTTCGGTGTATTTCGCTTGTGGCGCGACGACAGCGCCGCTACAAGAGTTAGTGTTATTGACGTGATAGGTAGATTCGAGGTCAAGAATTTTAATGTTGCTTGATGCACTTAAGCGTTTAAGCTTAAAAATTAATTTTGTAGTATATAATTCGATCTAGCATCATTTCGAATAAGGCAGGTGTTAAAGTCACCAATGAAAATGGAGTGGGAGTAGTTTGGGAGATGCATCTCAATCAGCTGTTCCAATTCATTGAAATAATTTACAGAAGGAGGTGCATAAAATGTTCCTAGTAAGAAAGGTGTGTTGCATACCATTATTTCAATGAGAATGTATTCCAATGATTTAGAGTAAACCTCGGGCGATCTGGAAAAGATGTATGGTCGTGTATGGTATGTCTGACCGCGTGGTTTAATCTGTCATTCCTGATGAGATGATAGCCCGGAAGACTAAACAAAGTGGATGGTAAGCTAGGTTTAAGAAATGATTCTGATATGAGACAGGCATGAATAAGACTGTTTTCGAAAGTTGCAAGAAGATCTGAAAAGTGAGCTGGAACACTTTGTGCATTAATATGACATATATTCAAATTCCTTCGGTAAGGCTCAAGGGAATTATTTAATATGTCCCTAAGTTGAGGTTCTGGGGAACCCTGACCTGGGGAAAACGATGATGGTGAGGAACTTGTAGAGTTAAAG